CGAGATCGATGCGAAGTCGTCGAGTAGGGACTTCGCCTGTATCACTTGATCTTTTCCTTTTAGCACCAGCGTAGTGTCGTCGGCATAACCCACGTATGCCATTGACCCGATTCCCCTCTTCTTTATCCCCAAACCTCTCCTTTCCACCTCCTGGCAGAGTGGCTCGACCGCGCACAGAAACAGATAGGGGGCGAGCGGACAGCCTTGCCGCACGCCTTTCTGCATCTCCACCCGCTCCCCCAGCCAACCGTTGAGCAGGAGCTTTGTGGCCGCGCCGTCATGTAACCCTTTCACCCATGCCGTAAACTCAGTCGGGAAGCTCATGTCCCCCAGTGTCCTGAACAGGTATTCGCGGGACACTTAGTCGTAGGCTTTCTGGAAATCCACGAGCAGCAGCAGCCAATCCTCATCCTCTTCCGCCGCCGCATCGATTACGTCTGCAACCAGCGAGACAACGTCCTTCAGGCTTCTGCCAGGGAGGAAACCGAACTGGTACAGCTGTCGAGAGAATCAGGCAAGGTGGTGTGTACTATCGAGAGTTTTGGTACAAATTACACAACCCTAAAGAGTTATCCCCTATAACATCTACCCCACTACAGCCTACCAATATATATCACACATATATATAATTTGACACACCCCCATAGGCAAAGTGGGGGAGAGCAACGGGTCACAAGACCAGTCAAGAGAAACAAAACAAGCTCAGGGTGGATCACAACGTCACCACACATTCTGAGCACAAGCAAATGGCCACAAGGCCAGTTCACATGCAGAGATATATATGCAGCAATGACAGTACAGTGTCGAGCTACCTAGCAAGAGCCAGCATGCAGGTATATATGTATATAGATCACAGTACAAGCAAAGACTACAGCAAGTGTGGAAGCGTAGGCACAAGGCCTAACAGAGTACAAAAGCGCTGATGATCACCAGACGGAAGTGCCTTGGTGAATATATCAGCAGTGTTGGCCCGAGTGGCCACGTAACGAAGACAAAGCTGGCCTCGCTGCTGCAACTCTCGAGCCAGGAAGTAACGCAGAGCAATGTGCTTCGTTCTGTGCTCCAGTCTGTGCTCCTCACACAAGGCAATGGCGGCCTTGTTGTCAACGTACAGCACTGGAGGAGAACGAGGCTGCTCTCCCAAGTCAGTCAGCAGGTAGGTGAGCCAGCGTAACTCCTGTGCAGCCATGGCGGTGGCGTAGATCTCAGCCTCACAACTGGAGCCGAGAACTGAAGACGAGCGTGTAGAACGCCACGAAACTGAACCAGAGCCAAGGCTGAAGGTGTAACCCTGTGACGACCGCTGAGTAGCCAGGTCGTCAACCCAAGAAGCGTCTGAGTGCCCAGTGAGGACAACTGGGCTCGTCCCTCCAAGCACTAGCCCCATGCCTGATGTGCTGCACAAGTAGCGCAGTACCCTCTTAGCAGCAGCCATGTGCTCAGGTCGGTGTCGACCAGGAGCCACGTAGCGAGCGAGGAGACCAAGAGGGTACGCGAGGTCAGGTCGAGTGCAAGTCATCAGGTACATGAGGCAGCCGACTAGCTCTGGGTAAGGACCACTCGGCTCTACGGACTCGTCCGAAGGTGGAGCTGAGAGCGTGTGACCTGTAGCCAGAGGAGTGGCCTGTGCTGAAGACCAGGTGAAGCCGAAGCGCTGAAGGACCTGCTGCACCATGTGTGACTGAGTCAAGGTGATGGTGCGGCGTGCTCTGTCCCGGGTGATCTGCAAGCCAAGGTAGCTGCGCAGCTCACCCAAGTCAGTGCACGTGTGTCTCTTCTGTAGCTCCGACTTCACGTGGGCGAGAGCCTCAGTGTCAGCAGTGGCAAAAACCAAGTCGTCGACGTACACGAGGATGTAGAACGGCGGCAGTGAAGTGTCTGTGCGCAGAAACAGCGACGGGTCAGCAGTAGAAGGCGCAAACCCAAGAGCCGCAAGTGTCGTCCTCAGTGTGTCGTGCCACTCACGTGGCGCCTGGCGGAGACCGTAGACCGGCCGTCGGAGGCTCCACTGGGTGCCAGGAGGGAACGACCCAGTGAAGCCCGGGGGGCGGCGCAGCCAGATCTCCTCGTGCAGGCTGCCCTGTAAGAAAGCAGTGCTGAAGTCAAGAGAGTGAAGCTCGTAGTCACGGTGAGCAGCAACGTGCAGCAGCACCTGAAGAGTGGTCATCTTCGGGGTGGGGGAGAAGGTCTGGAAGAAGTCAACTCCCTCTCGCTGACTGAAGCCTCGAGCCACGTAACGCGCCTTGAAGACAGGCGGAGAACCCGGCGGCCGCTTCACCCTGAAAATCCACATGCCACTGACGATGTTCGCCCCAGGAGGGGGAACCTCGTCGACGTAAGTGCCAGTGGACTTCCAGGATGCCATCTCTGCGTCCATGGCTGTCTGCCACTGAAAGGAGTACTCACCCGCGATCGCCTCAGCGTAAGAGCGCGGGGTCGGGATGTCTGGTGCATCCGGGTCTCCCTCAGGGGCAAGCAGCATGGCAACGAGATGAGGCGCAGCGGCTGCAAGACACTCAAGGTCCTCGTGCCTGTCCTCAAGGACGTCCGTGCTAAGAGCACACTCACCCCCGACGGACGGAGGACAGACAGACTCAGACTCAGCAACAAGACTGGCAGCGAAGTCTAGACGACAGGCAGCAGCAAAGTCAACAAGCTCAGCGACAAGAGCAGACGCAGCAGTAGACTCAAACGACGGGTCAGTGACAACAGTGGCTAGTAGACGCGTGACAGTAGGGTGCTCAGCACGAAACGTCAGGCAAAGAGGACGCAGGGGCCGGAACGTCAGGCAAAGAGGACGCAGGAGGAGATGGCAGAGGAACAGGCTGCGGAGCAGAGGAAGGACGACGGACTACGAGGTGTGTGCTGGGGAACACGACGACCGGAACGAGGAACACGACGACCGGAACGACCAGGACGAACAGGCGAAACAGGACGCGACGCAGGCTCACGACGCTCAGCAGGACTACCAGTCTGCTCAGTGTAAGGAGAAGGAGCAGGCAGCGGTGAGCCAGGCTGTAACGGAAGACCAGTAGACGACGGGAGAGTAAGAACCTGACGAAGAACAGAGTCAGACGGCGGCAGAGACGACGGAGACGGCGGAGCGAAGAACAGGCGTGTCGGCGCAGCTGCACCAGTACCGGCAGCTCCAGTGCCTCCAGCAGCTCCAGTACCTCCAGCAGCTCCAGTACCTCCAGCAGCTCCAGAAGCTCCAGTCCCAGAGCCGACACCTCCAGTCCCAGGGTCTCCAACCTCTGTGTCTCCAGCAGCAGCACCCCCAGAACCAGCACCTCCAGTCCCAGGGTCTCCAGCCTCAGTGTCTCCAGCAGCAGCACCCCCAAAACCAGCACCTCCAGTCCCAGGGTCTCCAGCCTCAGTGTCTCCAGTACGAGCACCTCCAGAACCAGCGACTCCAGCACCTCCAGTAGACAAAGGCACGAGCACCCCAGACCCGGAAACGCGACGCATCGCCAACCTTCCCCGTCCACAGCAGTGTGGGCGAGGTCTCCGGCAAGGAGACACGGGGCCAGAGGTTGAGCTGATGCGCGGCGTACCGGACCGCAAACGGCCACAGGAAATGGGGGGCAGCCGCATGGATCATGGAGGTACGAGCGACCTCCATGACTAAGCCAATGCGGCGCTCAGCAACCCCATTCTGCTGTGGAGAGGCCGGAAGCGTGAACGACCGGGTGATGCCGTGCTCCGCACAGTAGGCTGCCAAGAGGTCAGAGGAGAACTCACCACCTCTGTCAGAGTGCAGACGCAGGACAGGAAAGTCCAGCCGGAACCGCTCGCGGAGCTGGAGACGAACAGCGCGGATCCAAGGGATCAAAACATCAGGGACGTCCCCCTTGCTCTGCAAGGGGAAGACCGTGGTGTAACGCGTGTAGTCATCGACGACCAGCAGGAAGTACCGCTCGCGGCCCTGTCCCTGGACGCGGGCTGGGCCCCACACGTCCAGGTGGAGCGTCTGCAGTGGAGCCTCTGTGGGAGGAAACGAGGAGGAGTGAGGAGCGGCGCGCTGCCGCCCCTCGACGCAAGGAATGCAGGGCGGCGCAGGCGAGGGAGGGAGGGCAGGCAGAGACCTGGGAAGACCAGAGACCAGGGAGCGAGAGTGCATGCTACGCAGGCGAGGCAAGGAGGGGTGACCAAGGCGGTGGTGCCACAGGAGAGTGTCGTGCGACAAAGCGCGACACTCGCAGGGGGCCGCCAGCTGACCAGACGTAGACGCAGACGCAGCTACCTGAGGGGACTCAGTGGTCAGTGTGTACAGACTCGAGCCAGGTGCACGGGTGAACGTGGCCAAGTGCCGGCCCGTCCTAGCACACGTACAGTGAGTCACTCGCTGACTCGCAGGAGTGAACTGGTCAACCCCCCGATCCTGAAGGTCAGCTCCACTCACCAAGTTCGTAGAGGCCGGAAGCGTGAACGACTGGGTGATGCCGTGCTCCGCACAGTAGGCTGCCAAGAGGTCAGAGGAGAACTCACCACCTCTGTAAGAGTGCAGACGCAGGACAGGAAAGTCCCGCCGGAACCGCTCGCGGAGCTAGAGACGAACAGCGCGGATCCAAGGGATCAAAACATCAGGGACGTCCCCCTTGCTCTGCAAGGGGAAGACCGTGGTGTAACGCGTGTAGTCGTCGACGACCAGCAGGAAGTACCGCTCGCGGCCCTGTCCCTGGACGCGGGCTGGGCCCCACACATCCAGGTGGAGCGTCTGCAGTGGAGCCTCTGTGGGAGGAAACGAGGAGGAGTGAGGAGCGGCGCGCTGCCGCCCCTCGATGCAAGGAATGCAGGGCGGCGCAGGCGAGGGAGGGAGGGCAGGCAGAGACCTGGGAAGACCAGAGACCAGGGAGCGAGAGTGCATGCTACGCAGGCGAGGCAAGGAGGGGTGACCAAGGCGGTGGTGCCACAGGAGAGTGTCGTGCGACAAAGCGCGACACTCGCAGGGGGCCGCCAGCTGACCAGACGTAGACGCAGACGCAGCTACCTGAGGGGACTCAGTGGTCAGTGTGTACAGACTCGAGCCAGGTGCACGGGTCAGTGTAAGGAGAAGGAGCAGGCAGCGGTGAGCCAGGCTGTAACGGAAGACCAGTAGACGACGGGAGAGTAAGAACCTGACGAAGAACAGAGTCAGACGGCGGCAGAGACGACGGAGATGGCGGAGCGAAGAACAGGCGTGTCGGCGCAGCTGCACCAGTACCGGCAGCTCCAGCAGCTCCAGTGCCTCCAGCAGCTCCAGTACCTCCAGCAGCTCCAGTACCTCCAGCAGCTCCAGAAGCTCCAGTCCCAGAGCCGACACCTCCAGTCCCAGGGTCTCCAACCTCTGTGTCTCCAGCAGCAGCACCCCCAGAACCAGCACCTCCAGTCCCAGGGTCTCCAGCCTCAGTGTCTCCAGCAGCAGCACCCCCAGAACCAGCACCTCCAGTCCCAGGGTCTCCAGCCTCAGTGTCTCCAGTACGAGCACCTCCAGAACCAGCGACTCCAGCACCTCCAGTAGACAAAGGACCAGCACCACTCCTAGCTCCAGCAGCGCGACGCTGACGGCGACCGTACCAGTCCTGCAGCTGCTGTGGGGTGAGAGGCACACGTGGACGAAGGCGGCTACTCCAAGGAGACCGCGCAACAGCAGACTCAGAACCCTCAGCGCCCGCACCCCCAACGGCTCCAGAACCTCCGGTGTCAGTACCCTCAGCACCAGTACCTCCAGCGGCTCCAGAACCTCCAGCGCGAGCACCCTCAGCAGCTCCAGAACCTCCAGCTCCAGCGCCACCAGTACTAGGCCCTCCAGCAGCTCCCGAACCTCCAGCGCCAGCACCCTCAGTAGCTCCAGAACCTCCAGCGTCAGTACCACCAAGATCAGCACCCCCAGACCCCTCACACTCAGGCTCAGCACCACCAGGCTCCACACCCTCAAGCTCCGCACCCTCAGGCTCAGTACCCCCAGGCTCAGCACCCCCAGGCTCCGCACCCCCAGGCTCAGCACCCCCAGAAGTAGCACCCCGAGCAGGACCACCCTCAGTAGGACCTGAGTCACCAGTGACCTCAACCGGCGCAGTCAAGGGAGGAGGGTCTACCTGAGAAACACCTGAAGGAGCAGGACCGGGAGCGGGGAGGGGGTCTACCTGGGGAGCACCTGGAGCGAGGAAGAGCGGCGGGGGGGGGGAGCGGGGCAGTGCGGTAGGGGAAGAGACGGTAAAAGGGAACCGACTCGTCGAACGTGACGTCCTGAGACGCAAAGACACGGCGCGAGGTGGGGTGGTAAAACTGCCAACCAGGCGCGTCAGGGACAAAGCCAAGGAAGACACAGGGAACAGCGCGGGCGGAGAGCTTGTCCGCGGTGGTATCGCGGACAAAGGCACGAGCACCCCAGACCCGGAAACGCGACGCATCGCCAACCTTCCCCGTCCACAGCAGTGTGGGCGAGGTCTCCGGCAAGGAGACACGGGGCCAGAGGTTGAGCTGATGCGCGGCGTACCGGACCGCAAACGGCCACAGGAAATGGGGGGCAGCCGCATGGATCATGGAGGTACGAGCGACCTCCATGACTAAGCCAATGCGGCGCTCAGCGACCCCATTCTGCTGTGGAGAGGCCGGAAGCGTGAACGACTGGGTGATGTCGTGCTCCGCACAGTAGGCTACCAAGAGGTCAGAGGATAACTCACCACCTCTGTCAGAGTGCAGACGCAGGACAGGAAAGTCCCGCCGGAACCGCTCGCGGAGCTGGAGACGAACAGCGTGGATCCAAGGGATCAAAACATCAGGGACGTCCCCCTTGCTCTGCAAGGGGAAGACCGTGGTGTAACGCGTGTAGTCGTCGACGACCAGCAGGAAGTACCGCTCGCGGCCCTGTCCCTGGACGCGGGCTGGGCCCCACACGTCCAGGTGGAGCGTCTGCAGTGGAGCCTCTGTGGGAGGAAACGAGGAGGAGTGAGGAGCGGCGCGCTGCCGCCCCTCGACGCAAGGAATGCAGGGCGGCGCAGGCGAGGGAGGGAGGGCAGGCAGAGACCTGGGAAGACCAGAGACCAGGGAGCGAGAGTGCATGCTACGCAGGCGAGGCAAGGAGGGGTGACCAAGGCGGTGGTGCCACAGGAGAGTGTCGTGCGACAAAGCGCGACACTCGCAGGGGGCCGCCAGCTGACCAGACGTAGACGCAGACGCAGCTACCTGAGGGGACTCAGTGGTCAGTGTGTACAGACTCGAGCCAGGTGCACGGGTGAACGTGGCCAAGTGCCGGCCCGTCCTAGCACACGTACAGTGAGTCACTCGCTGACTCGCAGGAGTGAACTGGTCAACCCCCCGATCCTGAAGGTCAGCTCCACTCACCAAGTTCGTAGAGAACGAGGGGAAGTAAAGACCTGACAGCGAGCCGGACGTGGAGCAGTGGGCAAGGACTGGACCCCCAGAGGGGTCCGCCAGGGAGACTGGAACTGGCCGACTAAGCGGCGTGAGTGTGGTGCAGTCGCGAAAGAAGGAGCGGGAAGCTCCTGAGTCAAGGGTGAAGGTGTGCGAGACCGCAGTGGGCGCAGTACCAGAGAGAGCAGACACAGCAGCTCCAGGGCGACAGCTACGACGGCTACTGCGACAACCCCAGCTAGTATACCACTCACTAAGCTGCTGGGGCGTGAGAGGCTCGCGTGAACGTCGCTGGAGCTGCATCTGGCCACCTGCCAGTAGCAGTAGCAGCAGCAGTAGCGCGGGCAGGGCAGGCGCGGCAGGCAGGCAGGCAAGCAGGCAGGCAGGCAGGCCGGCAGGCAGGCAGGCAGCCAGGCAGGCAGGCAGGCAGGCAGGCAGGCAGGCAGGCAGACAGGCAGGCAGGCAGGCAGGCAGGCAGACAGACAGGCAGGCCGGCAGGCAGGCAGGCAGGCCGGCAGGCAGGCAGGCAGGTGCGCAGGCAGGCAGGCAGGCAGGCCGGCAGGCAGGCAGGCAGGCAGGCAGGCAGGCAGGTAGGCAGGCAGGCGCTCACCAAAGGCTGGGAGAGCAGGCGCTCACCGGGCGAGCAGGGCCGGCGCTCAACGGGCGGCGGCCGAGTAGGCGCACGACAGCGGCGGCGTCGGGGCCGCAACACCGGCTGCAGAGCAGGGCCTGACGGGCTTGTAGGGGCGGCGCGCGGGCCTGACGGGCCTCTAGGGGCGGCGCGCGGGCCTTACGGGCCTCTAGGGGCGGCGCGTGGGCCTTACGGGCCTCTAGGGGCAGCGCGCTGGCCTAGGGCAGCAGGAGGCAGCGCTAGGGCTGCTGGACGGCGCGCATAGTGCAGCACGTCACAAGGCAAGGCAAGGCAGGCAGGTACGTGGGGTAGCGCGGTAACCGCAGCGGTAGGTGGGCCCGAAAAAAAAAACGGTCCTACGGACCTTAGTGCTCTGAAACCATGTCAGAATCTAGCAGCAGGAATGGATGAACTAACAGGATGCAGGAGTACAAGTAGTAAACCCTAATTGGGTTGTACCCCATATGGGCTACCCCACTACAGCCTATACAATATGCAGCACATATAGTTTGACAGAGGGGGGTGGGGTTACTTCTCTAGTAGCTTTCTCGACACCCTCCTAGCTCCAGTTACGACTGAGGATGTATGTATGCGTGTAGTGTACTTATATCAAAAAAAAAATCTACTTTGTCGTCGCTTTATTTTCTAAAAATCATTTTGTACGCCTTGAGCTTTGTTGGACCCTTTTTTCTCATACAATACGGTCTAACAATGGTTAACAGTGACATAATATTGGAACTGAACCACAATTGATAGTACCCCCCAATGGGATGCATCTTTGCAGTCATTAATCGCTATTACCCTTTTAGGTTCCGTTGTATCTATTCCTACGCAACTGTACCGTATTATTACAAATTATTTGATTAACAATTAAGAGCAGTTGTTGCAACGATATCACAACTTTTCATGTGCGGGCGCTTCTTCTTGATCTTAACATTCATGGATCTGATGTCATTCACCTTGCATAGATGCTCGCCAGAGCTTCAACCATAATGCAACCATCATTCCAAACCCATATTGGACAACTGAACCTTGGGGTGTACGCAACACTCAAACACACTACTCGATATACTCATGGCCCTAATGGCCGTGATACTTACTCAGCAAAAGGCTATCCAAGGAACCTCCACACAAGATTTCAGTGTTTTCTAGTAACTTCTTCAATGAGGGGTGGTAAGAAAGAGAAGAAAATTAGGGAGGGTGACAAGGGAAAGAGGAAGGTGATACGAGGAGGAGGGAAGAGACTGACAGACGAATGCACTTAAGGGAAGAACCAAACACAAGGGCAGCCCGGGTAACGAGGCGAGAACGCCGTTTCAAGCAGTGCTTGTAACTGCCTACATATGCTGGATTTTGACAATATGTGCCGTACATACCGTATACTGCATAGTGATGACGCCCTTAAAATAGCCTATAACGTGATGCCAGCCGGTTACCCTGCCATCCAAATGGTGGTACAAGTGCGGGCATCCACCCGTCATTGAATCCTCCCAACCGCCGCACTCCATGCTGTATGATATTCGGAGCATAGGCGCATTGGAGTGCCACTGAGAGACGGGTACCAAGACCCATCTTGAATATCCGTGCCGATCCGTCCCGTCCCCCCCACCCCTCCTTCCCCCCCTCCCCACCCCCCCCTTCCCGCGCAAAAAACCCTCTGCCACTATGCTATCCGTCGTGCACAAAGCCCCAGAATCTCCCGCATTGGTTAGCTGAGTAGCCCAAAACCCGTCATACACGCATAGAAATGTGAGGGCCCCTCTAGGCATGGTCCCCGTCGTTCCCCTCTCGACGTGGATTCGCGATGGAGAGGTCCACCAAAGCCATGAGACTTTGCTCTGCATTACGGCAAGTTAGGTCTGAAATGAGGGCGGATATATATGTCGAGCCTGTGTTTTCGACCAGCCTCTTCTGCTGTACTGCCTGTTGCTGTACCTGATCCCTCTGTGCTTCCTCCCTCGTTGCCTCTGCCCTTCTATCCTCTCCCCCACCCACCAGTCTACCTCCCTTTCCTCCCTTTCCTCACTTAAACACACCCCCCCCTAACCCTATTCCCCACTACCTCCCTCACCTCCGAACCCTCCCCTCCTAGCCCCTCTGCTCCTCACGCAGACGCGTCTCCTGTCAACTCCGCTTGCAGGTCTCCCTCATCACCTCCTCCAACCCTTCCCCATAACCAAGCCCAAACTCGAAGGCGGTGCCCCCTCCGCCTGAAACCCCATCCTGGCCCTTCTGGCGCTCTCCTGCTGGCGAACCTGTTGCTGCCCCTGCTGTCCCCTCTCCTCTCCCCTACTGGCCTGCTCCTCCTGCCGTCCCTAGTGCCCGCTCGTCCCCCGCCCAGCCCAACCCTGCTGCTGCTGCTGTCCCTGCAGCACCCCTCCACCGGGCATGAGGGCAGCCCTCTGGCCCTGGAAGCCCCCAGCCTATGTCTCTCCCCGCACCTCCGGGACCGGGAGTTAGTTAACCACAAGCTTGGGTTAGTTAACCAAATCAATCGTATAACGTCATTAATAGATTTGCCAAACGCTAGGCTGACCTCAGCTACGGTCAAAAGAATCAAGAACTGCACTTGTGAATCATGATTGCTTGACACATACAATAGAAAAAACAATGGCTCACAACACATGGGCTGTTTGATACGGGCTTGAAAGAAAAGCTATTTCTAGTGATATCAACATGGGCACGGGTTTAAACTGCACTTGCAAAAGTTATTCCAAAGTCAAGTATTTCGCCATAGCTTGCATACCTACACTACAAGTAAAACACCCAAACTGAACTAAGCTTAACCGCTGTCTCCTTAGTGGAGTATCAAAGCTGTTACTCCTTAGAGTTGCTGCTCCTTGGGATGATTGCTGCTCCCTTGGAGGACTGCTGAAGCTTATGCATGGTCTTTCCTGCTTCTGCTTTTGCTTCCCCTCCTCTGCTGCTGGTGCTGCTGCTAAGCCCTTTCTTTGCAGCTGCTGCTCCCCCTGCTGTTGCAGCAGCTTCTACTCCCCCTGCTCCGCTGTTGCTGCTGTTCCTGCTGACCCCCGCTTCCCTTGTCTGATTCTGCCGCTATTTTGACTGAAACAGCTACCTTGACCACAGCTGAGCAAGCTATTCACTTCCACGAAGCTTTTCTTGCGGCACCTCAAAACTCCCCCTGCTCTGCTCCTGCTGCTCTCCCTCCCCCCCCCCCCCCCCCCCCTGCTCTGTTGCCCCCTCTCTGCACAGAAACAGCTACCCTGACCAGCTAAGCCAGCTATTCTCCTCCTTCCCCCCCGCCCACTACCCCCCCACATCTCCCGCTCTCCTGCAGCAGCTCCTCCCCCTCACAACTAACTACCCCCCCAGCTGAGCCAGCTATTCACCTCAGTGAAGGTATACGCGTCGTACAAGCTCACGTCAGCGATTATCCTTGGGTGCATGGACTGTTCCTCCTGCACCCTGCTGCTGCCCTCCCTGCCCTGCTGCTGCCGTCTATTATCCTCCCCGCCCACCACCCTCCCTCCCCTTTCACCCCGCCCAGCTAAGCCAGCTGTTGACTTCAGTGAAGCTGTTCGCGTCATACCCGCTGACG